GCTTTTGAAACTATTTGTTATCAACTTAGGCATCTATTACTTGGGAGCGAGGTAATGATTGTCCTTAGATTGGTTTCTTATTAAAAAAAAAGCAAAATTTACTGCTAGTCCTAGAATTTGCACAGTATGGGGGTAAACCAATAGTCCACCTTTTTCTTATGAAAGAGATTCCCAAATTGAGACATGGATTAAAAAGGAAAAAAAAAACAAGTATTCATTAAAAAGGGGAAAAAAATAAGGGAAAATAGAAGAAAAGAAGGTCCTAGACTTTGATGAGTCAAGTAGAGTGAACATGTTCAAATGGCTTTATCGAATCCATCAAACTAGAACCCTGTATACAAGTTTACTAGAGGCGTTCCAATGTCTATAACATAAAGCATCAATCTTGGTCAGGTAAAGCCTCAACTGTAGAATTTATGCCATTTCCAATATGCTAAATAATTTCAAAAAGTAGGCACTCTAGTCTAGGGCCATATAAACCTACTCTCTAAACCCAAAAAGCAAAGAGCTTTTGTAGTTGTACTAAATTGACAAACAAAAAAGATGATATATTTTCCAAACTCACACACCTAGATGAAGCAATTAATTCAAAACAAGCACTAAAAAGATGATAAGTTTCCATCAAATTCAATCTGGATTTTATCTCAATCTTTTCACAGGTGATCATGCTTAGTTTCAAATTAAAAAACCCAGATTTGTGTGTTGGACTTTGATTAAATATCAGGCTAAGGTCTCAGCTTTACTTTCTTTTTTGTTTCATACGTTCTTGATTTGGATTTAACATAACTATGTTAACTAATGGATATTCTCTACATCGAAAACTGAGTTAAATACTCTTATGAATCTAATGTTTTGCGAGAGTTTGGGATGAATTTCAATTTGCATTTGGTTGGTATTTGATTTTTGTGACTAATATAATATCCTCTTCTCTTTTATTCAATTTTGTACATCTATCCATCTTCTAGATCTAATATTAGATGTCATTTTTTTTAGTCTTGATTCTATGAAATGTATCACTATTTCTAATTTTAAATATTATGATGTACTAAATATTCTAAAACATATTGGATTGAATAGTTGGAGGTAGTTTTAGGTGGTTTGATTGATTGACTATATTTTATGTTATATACCGTCTTCAAGCTTGCTTGTAATTTTTTTGTTTGTTAAATAGTATCTTCAGACACAAACAATTACTAGTTTATATAATAAAATAGAACAAGTTTTGAATTCAAAGACAAAAAAACGACTAAGGTCGTTTTATGATAAAAAAAAAAAATCATCCGACGGACGATACTATCTCGATTGTCTCAAACTATTAGGACCTGTTTGGTATGTGGGACAAGGAGGGATTTGGAAGATGGGTTGAGGAATAAAAGTCCACAAAACCCAACAAACCCATGTTTGACATCTACATTTGTAACCCAATTTACTAAACCCAGCCTGCAATTTAAACCCAAGTTCATGGGTTTCATGAAGCCCGGTGGGGGTGTGTTTCATATGGGGCTTAATATATAAAATGACATTTATACCCCCATAAAACCCATGTACCTAAACAAACATGAGTTTGGATTAAATTAGTTAAGGAGCACAATAGTGATTTATATACAAATATATTATCATAATAGTTATATATTCATGCGCATACTAAACATGGATATGAACTGCATTGAATGTTGAATCTCATCTTTGAATCTCATCTCTGGGATTGGAAGGGTTTGGACAAATCAATCCAAACCCAAAAAACCAACCAAACTGCCCTTTAATATCTCAGATTATCTCAAAATTTATTGTTTCTACGCACCAAAATGAATTCTCAAAATTTTATATCGCCCAAAAAACTTTGGGGTTGTTTGTTTGCTGTTTTATATTTTTGTTTTGAGTTTTTGTAAAAAAAAAAAATGTGTTTGGTAATTATTTTTGTTTTTGTTTCATCTACGTTGTCTTGGAAACAAGCTAAAAAAATGGGAATAAAAAACTGATGTTTTGGGAAACAACCCAAAACTGAAACACGCGAATTTTGACTCAAAATTTTTTAGAGAGAATTACACTCAAACCGCTGAGGTTTGTCATTTAATCATTCAAACCCCCTAAAATTAAAAATTACACACAAACCCCCTAAGGTTTGTACACACGTAATATTTAGACCCCTGCCGCCAAATGTCTGTTAGTATATCTGTTAATAAATTAAATTCAGACCCCTTAAAGTTTGTAAGTATATAATATTTACACCCCTTAAGTTTAAAATGATATAATTAGACAAAAAATATCCCAATCAAATATAGAATATAAAATATTTTAAATTTTATAACCAAAATTCATTATCTATTGTATAATTTATTGAAATAAAATTAAAAAAATCAAGCATGAGATTTAAGTCATTCATAACATAACATGAATTTTACAAACCAAAATTCATATTTTATTATGTCATTTATTGAAATAAAATCAAAAATAAAAATCTATTTTTTTCTTAAAAAATTCATAATTAATATATAATTATACTATCTATTGAAATAAAACTAAAAAATCAAATAAGGAGTTAAACTATAATGAACACAATATATTTTAATTTTACTTGGGATAATTTGGTCGTTTAAATGACCAAATGGTCTAAGTAACTCCAGCTATATTAGCTCGATGCGCCTTTATGTATCAGGTATTAGTAGGCTCTGCCCCAAGAATCGTAGACCGGGAACCTGGAGGAGAAGGCAACATGCAACGGATGGAGCATTCAGAGAGGTTTTAGTTCACATTCATTCAACTGAACAAACGCGAGCTATTGAGTAAGATAAGGCTGTCAAACTATAATGAACATAATATATTTTAGTTTTAATTGGAGTAATTTGGTCATTTAAATGACTAAATTAAATTCTAATAGATAGTATGATTATATACTAATTATGATTTTTTTTTAAAAAATAGATTTTTATTTTTTATTTTATTTCAATAAATTTAATAATAGAATATGAATTTTGGTTGTAAAATTTAAAATATTTGATATTTTATTTTTAATTGAAGTATTTTTGATCTAAGTATAATATTTCAAACTTGAGGGGTCTAAGTATTACACGCTATAAACTTTAAGGGTTATGGATGTAATTTATTAATGGATTTATTAACACATTGACGATATGGGTTTAAGTGTAAGTCGCATACAAATCTCAGAGGGTTGTGTATAATATTTCAAATATCAGAGGATCTAAGTGATTAAATGACAAATTTCAAGAAGTCTGAGTATAATTCTCCCAAATTTTTAATGAGGTCTCGAACCTTGTTAACAACAACATTGGATTATTTTTTTAGGGCTAATCTTAACTTGTATATTGAAAGATCACTTGAATCTCAATTTGTACTCTCAAAATTTAAAAATATCAATTTACACCTTAAAGATATAAATTCGTATCAATGTGCACCTCAGATTAACTGTCATCCATTTTGTCGTTAAAAAAGTTTGGATTAATTATAAATTGCAGCCTTAAAACTCAAAATTTTCATATTTATGATCCAAAAATAGTATTTCTTTCATTAATGCTCGTTAATTAGCTCTCAATTGTATCGTACCATAACATTTTTGTGTCATGTTCGAATCAATAAAAAAATATTTTAAATTTTTTTAATAATTATAAAATACATATTTTTTGCTTATTATACTTGTTAAATAGTTTTTGTCTACAATTAGACACAAATTTTCTATTCGATCAAATTAAAGTTAGATTTGAATAACACAAGTGTAGAAAAAAATAGTTATTTAATGAGCATTGTAGGTAAAAAAATAAGTATTTTTTGTAATTTAAAAAAATATTAAATAATATTATATAAATTGTCGTAAATGTGAAATATACGACATAATGCAATTGACTCGATATGAAAATATTTTGTGTTAAAATTTTTTTTTTATCGACTTGAACACAATACAAAAATGATATGACATGATACAAAATAACATGATACGACACAATTGAGAGGTATTTAACAAGTATTAACGGATAAATTCTTTTTTAATCATAAATGTGAAATATTTAAACTTTAAAGGTGTAGTTTGTAATTATTCCAAACTTTTTAACGGCAAAATGGATGGTAGCTAACCCGTGGTGCACATTAACCCAAATTTATGTCTTTTAGGGTATAAATTAATATTTTTAAAATTTGAGGATATAAATTAAAATTCAAATGATCTTTTAAGGTGTAAGTTGAAATTAACCCTATTTGTTATGTAGGTATAAATTGTGGGTTTTTGTTGTTTCGCTCTGGTCTCACACACACGCACACACATCTCTTATCTCTATGTTCTGGACGATGAACAAGGTCAAAGAACAAACACACTCAAAGAAGGCAATGAAGCTTTGCTCCTCGATGCTTTGAACCCAGAACCCGAAGAAGTCATCTATGCAGAAAACCCATCAATCTTTTTGTCTCTCGTTGTGCACAATAGGGTAAACACTTTTAGATCTATGTATATATATATGCTTTATATAGGCATTGAATAGGTCCCTATCTCTTTTTTTTTTCTTTTTTCCCTAAACAATTCTGTGTCATTTTATGTGTTATATATCGGTGTGTGTGAGTCTGTGTGTGCTGATCTGTTGAGCGTGTGCTGTGTGTTGAATGTGTGATATGTTTAATGACTTAGTTAATGCAATTATTTTATTTTGTGTTATTTGATGAATTAATGAATCTTTTGAGATAATAAAATTTAATTTGTATTTTGTTGTACGTGATGTTATAAATATTGATTTGTATTTGTATAACTTGGACCGGTTAATTAAATATGTTTTTTATTTTGTTTTCGTAAAAAGATAAAAATAAATAACTTTCAAACATATTTTTATTATTTATCATCAAATAAAATAAATTTTATTTTTATTTTTTTAAAAAAAATACTAAAATAAAATCGTTACTAAATGACCGGTCTAATTTCTATGTTTTTTTTTTGTTGGGTAAGGAATTTTTTTTTTTTTTTGTTTTTAAGTAAAAACTTTCCATTCTATACTCTCTTATCTCTCCTCCCCTATCTCCCGAAATTGACACCCAAATCCCTCTCTCCATTAACGATTTCAAATCCCATGGCCTAAACTCCTCTCCATAATTCACGCCTATTCACTTCCGCTCTCGCGCTTTCTCTCCCTCTCTTCTGTTATCGACTAACTGCACCAGATCCACTACCAATAGCAGAGATGGCGAACCCACCGCTGCTAGCGCACTACTGTCTGTTAGGTCTCTCTTTGCTTTCCCCACACTAACACCCACAGTTTGAGGCCTCTCTCTCTCTCTCACGAGCGACCAAATCAACGGTGTAGAGACCACATCGAGCAATAGCGACTAGATTCATGGCAACAGAGACCACATCCTCCGGCGGACAGAGACTAGATCTCCGACCACATGCTCCGGCAATACTAAACAAAGCAAAGCTTTGATATACTTGTGTGAAGTCGCCGGAAATGACTGACGGGCAGGTGATAAAGCATGCAAGGTATAAATCGTCAGTCAAGGACTTTGGAGTTCCTGGTGTTCTGAAAATGGTAGTTTTTTTTGATAATTGAGCAAAGTTTCTACATGTGAAAATGCTTCATTGTTGTTACTGCGTGCAGACTCGGGAGAGGTTTTTTTTTATGCCAAATGATCCGAAATCATCTGCAAGGCTTAATGTAGAGTTTAGATTGGTTAAAGGTACTTTGTTTGTTAATGCACTTGATCCTTTAGGAGAGTTTTCAATTGTTAGTTGCAAGATGGTGCAATGTTACAGTCAATGATTTTTTTTTTTTTGTTTTTGTTTTTGCTGGAAGTGCTGGATGGTTAGGATGAGATGTAAGTAGTGCCAAAAGAGTTGTCTTTGATTGCCATTTTGCGGTTTATAAATGAAAACGGGAAAATTGTTGCGAAAATACCTATGCGCCTTGTCATACTGTTCGTCAGGATTGCTTTGGATGTAGGAAGCTGAGTGTTCCTTTAATTAATCCATCTTATTGTCCATTTTGTTTAGCACACATCTTATTATTTTGTGACAAAGTTGTTAATGTGTTTCTATCTGTCTTTGTTGTGAGTTTTCAGGTCACAAATTTACCAAGGAGGGTTCCAACAAACAGGCCCTGCTTAATCTCACAGTGGATCAGGTTTCTCCTCTGCTATATTACCTTCTAGACAGTTCTTTTAGGAATCCTTTAAATTTGTTCAGTTGCTGAATCTTATGGCAGTTAGGTTGAACTCCATCTATGAGTGTTCGTTACATGATATTGCACAATACTTTTCATGATATATTGATATTTTTTTGTGTCTAACTAAGCATATTTACTGTTGCTTCAATTATAGTGACTTAAACTTGAAAATCTTATTTGTGTCCAGGGAGGAAATTACATTTTTGAATTTGACACTTTTTCTGATCGTGATGCTTGTTGTGAATATGTTGGTAAGTCTCTCTTATTAACTATAATTAAGTACGTAGTTGGACATCATCTAGAGTGTTTGGAATAATCAACCTCAATATACTGTCTTGATTTGATAAAGTTCTTATAGAATTGGGTAGCTTATATTGGATGAAATTGTTCACATGAAGATTTTGTGAGAGATCAGCTGCTCCACTTCAAGATGAACAACTTAGCCATGCAGAGATGGAGCGTCGGATTAGACTACTGCAGGAGGATAGGTAAACTCACTTCCGGTTATCCTGACAAAAATTGTTTGTTCCACGGCAAATTATTGTTCAACTTATGCACTTTGTGACTACAAGAATCTTGTTGTTCGTTTTTATCAGTTACTTACGTTTGCATAAACATATTATTCTGAAACTATATGCCAGGTGGATTTCAAGGTAGTATCATTGTGCAAGTTACTACAAATTATGTAATGTCTGAATTCCTATGGAACTGTTGGCATACTCTTGTGAAATATGAACAGAACTTTTGATAAAATGTCCAGTTTCATTGTATCATTGGCTGCTGAATTTAGTATTTCGTCTCTTCACATGTAAGTTTCTCTTTTAGTTGATAAGGTATCATTTGCAGTGAGTTGCAGAAACTTCATAAGCAGTTAGTGATTGGAGGTGTCCTATCAGAGGCTGAATTTTGGGCAACAAGAAAGGTTAGCTATTGGTTATTTTTTTTCCAATATGTCAGCTTCTACGAACATGGATTTTAGGATAAGCGAATTGAACTGTGAGCCTATGTGTGTCTACCTGGAGAGATGTGCTCTTTTTATTAGTTAGATATACTCTTGGGAAAGCTGTAACAGAAAAGTTTATTTTACGATAAAGTGCAGAAGTTGCTGGATGAGAATGCCAGCAGAAAATCAAAACAACAGGTGGGGTTGAGAAATGACATGTTCCATGTCAAACCATCTTCTGATGGTTCGGTATAACATAGATCTCTCTCTCTCTCTCTCTCGTGAAGTTTGAAACGTATGTTATGAATTCTAAGTTCTGTTTTTTACTTGCAAGATTACTTGAGGTGCATTGTTTACTAAGTAGACTCATTTCTAGTTTTTGTAACTTCTGGCAATTTCTATAATGCTTATTTTCTTTGAATGTTATTTTTTCAGTCTAACAAAGTTACTTTTAATTTGACACCCGAGATTATTCACCAGGTATGGCTTGTTCTTTCTTTTGATTCATCCAGAATTTTGCCTGTTATATTATTTGACATTGCAATTCTTAATCAATAATGGTGCATAGCCACGTTTTCTTTTGGTCAACATTAGTACCGTTGATGAAAGTCTATTCTGGAATGTGCATGTATTTGTCAATTAATTGGATGCATTATAATGTGGTGATACTCGTTTGACAGAGTAGCATTCTAGTTGCCTCACTTTAGTATGATGTGGTGATACTCTTTTGACAGAGTAGCATAGCACTCTACTTGCCTTAGTAAATTGGATGCAGTATTATTTGGTGATACTCTTTTGGCAGAGTAGCACTCTAGCTGCCTCACTTTCTTATGTTTATACATGCTTGGATCTTTGATTGTCTAGCCACAATTTACACATATGCCAAGGTCTATATGGAATGTGTTTGGTGGTTGTTGTTTTGGGGAGTGGGAGCAGGTTGTAAATTATGTATTTATATTGTTTGTTTGCACTGGCAATAACCTTACAACGTACAACGTATGATACTTTTTTCGATATGTGCTATGGTGGGGGTAAACTTAGTTGATATGTTGTTTTGAGTCATAGTTCACTTTGTAATTTTTATTGAGATCGCTTCACCACTGTATAGATTTATATATAAATATACATTCATATACACATGGTTAACTAATATTTATTTCAAAAAGGATAAAAAATCTAAAGCGCATAATCCAAGACACGTGCCAGCTACAACTCAACTCAACATATTGACTATTTGTTGTCAATAATAAAAGTTAGGAGTTGCATATTTGTGTTACGAAAAAAAATTCAAATCACAACATATCAAGATATAAATTTAACAATCATCAAACTAAAGAAATAACCATGGATATATTTTGGGGTTAGAGTTATAATTGGGGATTTGTTGGACCGTGGTTTGAGTTACAATTTGGGTTGGTCAATTTGAACAATTTGGCTTGTGAATCCACTCTATTTCTGATCGTACGACCCTGGTATGTGGGACGACGCTAGGGTATCTACGATTTTGATATCTATGTGCTTGATGCCCGAGTAAATATGTAATTAGGGGAGAAAAATAAATTTAAGATTGGCTTAAATATGTGAAAGGCAAATGAAAGCAAATGGAAAATATTACGATATATCTCTTGCTTTTGTTGCCCATTGAAAAGGGGGAAAGTTGCTTTCGTTGATTCATTGTATTCTTTATTTATTGAGAAACCAAAAGAGAGTTCTAACGGGATAAGCGAAAGGGAAGATGTTGGATTGGATTCAAGTGGATGTTCCAATAAAGGATGGGGAGAGAATGGAGGGGAGGAGAGTTGTTGTCCTAACTGACTTGTGTAAATTTACATCTTGCAGAACTTAATTGTGTTAGCTTTTTGCTCCTCACTATTGGTGACATGGATCAGTCATGCATTTTGAGTAGTATATAAACCGGTGACTTAAGTGTGCTCGGCTTGATACGATAGAAAATTTTGTACTTTGATGCATATCTGTCTTTGCATGGTTAGTTATTGGTTAGGATTGTTGATAATATCATTGTGACTCAGTAGCCATCTACTTCTTCTCCCTCTTATTTATTGTTGGATTGACTTTCAGATTTTTGCTGAGAAACCGGCTGTACGCCAGACATTTCTAAATTTTGTTCCAAGCAAGGTTAGAGAATGTGCAACTTTTTTCTCTTTTTTGTGGCAATATTTTTTTTCCTCAAAGATCACCTCCTTTTGTATTTTTCTCATTAACTTTAAGCTAACTTCTACATTGGGGTTAATGTATACATTTTCTGGATTCCAGATGACAGAAAAAGAGTTCTGGACGAAATATTCAAGAGCAGAATACTTACACAGTACGAAAAATGTTGTTGTGGCTGCAGCAGAGGCTGCAGAAGATGATGAGCTGGCTGTTTTCTTGAAGCAAGATGACATGGCAGCAAGTGAAGCTCGGCGGAAAGTGCTCTAGATTAGAAGATTGGGGTTTTGCATTATTTAGGTCCGGTACATTAGACCTATTTTCTGCAATCTTATTGATAGGGCCTGTAAGGATCATCGCTGCAAGTAGTGGGACTTGGTTTTCAGTAATGGTGTATATATGTTCTTTGCAATAGAATGAGCATTTTTGAAAGGGTTGTTTTTATTTAAACACGTCAGTCCATTTGACGTTTTTAAGTGGAATACCCTGACTCTATTTTTTCCTCTTCTTTCCTCCTCCTCCCTTATTTCCCCCGAATTATCTGGTCTGAGCTGAGCCTTAACCCACACTAAATTGCCTTCTTCCCCCAAAACCAGTCATTTGAGCCCCCCTCGAAGAACCACCACCATCGACTGACCACCCACGCCCACCCAGCACCACCCAACGATCGAAGCCCTAAATCCAAGCACTACCATCGAGGACCACCACCACTCATTACACGTTGCAACCCAGTGACCACCAGCGAGGACCACCACCTGCTGCTCGTCCAGCAGAGGTAAGTGTGCTGGTTTTGATTTGAAATTTGTCAGTAGCTTAAGATTGGTAGTTGAAATTCTACAATTGTATAAAATTGTCGATTAAGGCCTTAGTACATCTTTATTTTATTTATTTCATTTAATTTATGAGGTACATATTTAATTTTTTTCACTTTTTCTCACTCTAACAACGAGGATGATATTTAGATTGGCAAAGGGAAAAAGTTAAACAATGCAATTGCCTAGTCGAAGTCCTATGTTATGTTCTAGTTTAACTATTATATTAGTTTGAAACCTCCAAAACTATGATGTACAATATATAGCAAATCATATACAAAAATCACAAGGGTAAGAAAAAATCACCAGTATGTATGGGATTGTGGATGATGTAATATGTCTGAATGGACCTGTCTAGAGAATAAGGTGGGCTGCTTTTACCAGTGGTATTCTGTGTTGCTTTCATTTTCATGCAACTAAACAAAGTGGTAATCTCTTGTCATGTAGTGAAGGTATTCTCTAGGTATTGTTGATTTTTGAATGCACATGTACATGGCTCTTGTCATGGTTTCTGAAAAAAGAAAACATACCCATATGCCAGATAAATAGAGAAGACACAAAATAGTCTCTTGTTTTGGAAGATCATGCCCTTAATCTAATGTGCACCCACGTGCAGTGAAACTCTACAGTTATGTAGGATCCTGGATTAATTCCTTAGTTGATTGCTCTAGCCAAAACTCTCGGAGTGGTTTGGTTTGGTAGGGAGGTAAAAGATCTTGTTATTGAGTAGATTATTGAGTTGAGTTGATTATTGATTGTGTTATTGAGTTGGGTATTGAGTAATTGGATTAGAATAATTGGTCCATTCCCTGAAGTGTATATATGTATGTTCTAAATTGCCAATGTGATCTTTGTTGGAAATGGTTATTGCCAATGCTGCCTTACAAGCTCTTTGTGCCTGATTTAAGTGCTAGAGAACCCAAGTCAATTAATCATTTTGAATCTCCCATCATTATGTATTCTAAATTCTCCAATAACTGCAATAGGTATCGACCAATCAAAGAGAAAGATTATTAATGTCGACCGAAAGATTAAACAAGTCCAATGATAGAATAAGGGAAAGTAGGAGGACCATGCTGGAGACAGAGGACCTTGGTGTTTCACTTCTTCAAGATCTGCACCAACAGCGACAATCTCTGTTACATGTCCATAACACAGGTATATTTGATTTGATATTCCTTGCAGATGCTGTCTTAAACCAGACAGAGGACCTTGGTGTTTCACTTCCTCTTTCCTGTTTCAGCTTCATGGAGAGGATGACAACATGAGCAGGAGTAAAAATTTTTGACTGCCATGTCAAGAAGGATGAGCAGGAACAAGTGGATTATCGGAGCTGTGATTGTGGTCCTTCTTGTTGCTATCATCTTAATTTTATACTTCAAGCTTTCAAAATAGTCAAGACACTCTTTTCTTGGGTTTGTGTTGCTCTCTTAAGTCACGAGTTTTTGGCTTCTCTTTTTTTGTTGTGCTTGGTTTATTGAAGTCCTGTTGAGTGGATAATCGCATATAATGACTCAGATTTATGTTGCTTTGTATTTTTTTTTTTTTTTGTGTTGTCATTTTCTTCTGTTTCATTATCGAATGAGAATGAAATCAGAATTTCGGAAGACTGAAAATGTTAATATAGATTAAATTGAAACATGTGAATGGAATAAATTTCTTTTGGTTCTGCCGACATTAGATGAAGCTTGGCTTTGATTTCACTTGTGGCATTTTCTGATGATGATGTTTTTTTTTTTTTTTGAACTTTAATGGTTATGGGTTTTGGTGGAGTCAAAATAGTAACTTCTATTGCACAGGAGCACCTTGCTCGTCGTCACCATCTTGAGCGATATAAAAAAGATGGAGATTCATGGTATGTGAATGTATAACATTTTTACACCACTGGCGCCTAATGGTACATTAAAAGTACTGAATTTTTTCTCAAGAAAGGGAGCAATTTTCAACAGCCAGGCACCCCTCTAGCTTCACTCTTTTTAGAAGGAAAAAAAGGGGACATGATCCACCAACTTACCACCGAGAAATTAGTGTGTAATGGTAGCCGATGTTCATTTTTTTTTAAAAAAATTTGATTTATTAGGGGTTCTAAATGATCCACAAAAGAGAGCAATCTATGATCAGTATGGTGAAGAAGGGCTACAAGGGCAAGTGCCACCACCAGAAATATTTAATCTGCCACTTATCTTTGGATGAAAAATATTGAAATCTACATGAAAGATTCCTCCCATGTTGATGCCTTCTCTTTCTAATGCAGTATAAGGATGGTGCAAACCACTATACATTAAATGAGGAGCTTAAAGAATGGCCACTTTTGTAACACTGCTTTTATTTTTGAAACGATTTAAATTAAATAGATCCACGATTAGATGCTATATTTCTAAACTGGATTCACTCGTTTCTCTTCTTCCATCTTTTTTTTTTAAGAAAGGGAAATCTTATTTGATTGAATCTCAAAAATTACAAGAATCAAGAACAGAAACTGTTTCAACAAGAAAATAGAAAACAATAAACTGATTAAAAAAAACCAGAAAAAGCTGCTATAAAACTGTAGTATTTTCTTCTGTACAGCCTGCAGCATCCTCACCTCAACTTCTGGCTCTTAGAACCCCATCCTTTTCAGCCTTGCAGAAAGCATACAGGATTCCTGGAATAAAAATAATCTTCCAGTCAGGTAGAATGCCACTAACTGAAAAATCAAGATCAGTCTGCTATACATAGTTGCTGATTTTTTGGCTCCATTCACTGATTTTTCAGTTAGTGGCATTCTGCCTTTGACTGGAAGATTAATTTGACTTGGGTTCTCTAGCACTTGAATCAGGCACAAAGAGCTTGTAAGGCAGCATTGGCAATAACCATTTCCAAGAAAGATCACATTGGCAATTTAGAACATACATATATACACTTCAGGGAATGGACCAATTACTCTAATCCAATTACTCAATACCCAACTCAATAACACAATCAATAATCAACTTAACTCAATAACACAATCAATAATCAACACAACTCAATAATCAATAATATACTCAATAACCAGAACACCTCTTCGTGACATCAGTTACACTCTATACAAAAGATGAAAAATTGCAAAAGAGAACTCTTTCGAAATATTAAAAGGCATAACACCTTCGGTTCAGGAATGACATTGCTCTAATGATGTTCAGCACCCAAGTTAAAAACATTCAATATTGATATTATAACTGGATTCAAAATAAAACTATTATCAATCCAAAAGATACTTGGGTGGATCTAGAAGTAGACCCATCTTTATTTATACTCAAGATTTTCAGTGGACCAACAAATTACCTTTCCTATATGTTCAAGCCTATGAAAAATTACACTTAAATCTGATGGTTCAAAACCTTTTCTTCACCAATCATTCTAAACCCATTTAACCACTCTTCCTATGAAGAAGAACCAAACTACCAGATTTACAGAGAAATGTTCCTAAAGGAACCATAGAAGAAAAAAGATCTATTCAACTTTAATTGATCAATGCAACAAAATGTGCGCACAAATTGAATAAAACCAACTATTGTTCAAGCAATATAAGCACAACCAAATCAAGCACCAACCATTCAAGAGATCAAGAAAAGTTGAAAAACATTTACCAGCACAATAGTGGTGATGTCACGAAGAGGCGTTCTCGGGTACCGAGTAGTGCTAGGTGGTGATGGGGCGGCCTTCGAAGGTGGCGGTGCTTCGATGGTTGGGTGGTGCTTGGTGGTTGTGGATGATGATGCGATGGCGGTGCTAGCAGTTGGCTAGGGGGTGTAGATGATGAGATTTCTATTTCTCTCGCCTGAAAACGTTAGGGCTCAGATGGGGAGGGGGGAAGAAGGGAAAATAAGGGAAAGAAAGAAGGGGAGGGAAAAAACGTCAGTTGTACTGACATTTTTAAGGTCCTTGAAATGTGCCTGTTTAAGCTTAAAGACGTCATTTGGACTGACATTTTTAGGCTAAAAACGTCAGACCGATTGACGTCTTTAAGCCCAAAAACGTCAAACCAATTGACGTTTTTAAAAGTACTTGAGTTTGAGAATTATTTTCAAACCAATCTTTAATTGAGATATTTTTTTTAAAACCCCATGGGATGGTTCAAAAGCTCCACAACACAATGTTAAAAGTGAATTATTATTATGTTTTTTTCAGACTTCACCAGGACGTGGTGAGGGGATTCCTGAGGAATGCACGTGACTCACAAGCCAGCACATCCTTTCAGTATGTGGGAGATAGAGAAGTTAGCGGAGGAGGCTGGGTTGCACTTGGTTGAAGAAGTATATTTCACCACACGGGATTACTAGTGTTATGAAAATAAAAGAGGAGATGGGTATAGAAGCAATGACACCTTCCCCGTTGGACAATGCAGTACATTCAAATTTTATAAGTGATGATGTCCAGCTATCTCTCTTTGGCTCAATTAGTTATCCTAATCAAGATCTCTTTAAGTGATCATCA